GTCATTGGAGTCCCAAGAAAAGACAAGAAGACAAAGTGTGGTGCAGAAAAAATGTTTGAGGAAATAATGTCTTAAATTTTCTCAAATTTGGTAAAAGACATAAGCTTAAAATTCAAGCCCATTGAACTCCAAAGAGCATATAATCAAAGTTATCTGTGTGCTGATAAAATATAATCAATTTATGAAAATTAAACACAAAGAAACAAATATTCTAAACAGCTAGAAGGAAGATGATAGATTAAATATAGGAGAATGATGTTTAACAATTGTTAAATATTTAATAAAAACAATTGACTGTGGATTCCTCAGTAGAGTCCATAGAGGTCAGAAGGCAATGGAACAACATTTTTTTAAGTGTTGAAAGAAAAGTCAGCACAGAATTCTATAGCTATTAAAATATCCTTCAGAAATGAGACCAACATATAAAGATATTATCAGATCAATGGTCAAGAGAATTTGCAGCAAGAGGGGTCTAGAAGTCTAAAAGGATTGCTAAAAGAAGCACTTCAAATGGAGGGCAAATGTACCAGAGGGCAACTTGAAAATTCAGGAATGAAAGACAAGCAACAAAATTGGTTTGACTGACCAAAACTGATTCTAGTATTATTGATGTAGGATGGTACTGTATCATACCTCTGTGAATGTAAAATATCTTGTACCTGCTTTATGATACATAGTAGTGACTGTGCTTTATCAGAGATATATTTAATGATATTACTCTAGAATGTTCTCTTTCCAGATGATGATTAAGATGCTAATAAAAAAAATGTTGCCAGGTACCACAACAGCAACAGAACTATTGCCAGGTACCACACAACAGCAACAGAACTTTGCTGTTTTCTGGATATTAATCTTTTCTTTGTTTTATTTTTTTAATGAAATATGCTGAATGTCTATAATTTTGTTCAGATGAATGCAGAACCTGGAAAAGCTGTTGCTGCTATTGATGCATAACATACTGCTATTATTGGTCTTTTTATATAAATATAAATATACATACATATATATATATATAATTTGAATTTTGGGAAACTTTAACAGTGCTGTCAACTTTGGAAAAAGTTATCCCAATTTACTGTGTTGAGTTGGCATTATACAGAAATGGACAGCCATACTGGTCTAGAAATGCTAATTTTTAAAGTTTTTTTTTCCATTTGTACAGGGGTAACACACTGTATTAAATATGTAAGGTCATATCTACGTGGGTTTGATTACAGAAACTAATAAAGTATTCTCTAAATAATGAAAAAATTTGGTTTGACTGTTTTTCTGCACTTAAATCCTTTAAAATATTTGCAAAAGTTGAAAAAGTGTATGAAATTATAAATGTGGTTTTAAATGTATGTGCACACATATAACATATATGACAACAAATGCACGAAAAGGTAAGAGGAGAACATTTACAGTGATAGGTGTCTACATTCCCCAGGCAGTAAAAAACATGCTAACCCTAAGCAGACTATAAATAGGTTATGCCATTCTACTAAGCCAGAGGTAAACATTTAAAATAAAGAAAGTTTTGTGAGTTAAGAATAAGCAAGGATTTCTTACACAGGGCACAAAAATCACTATCCCACAAAGAAAAAAAAATTATAAATTGTACTTCATCCAAATTTGAAGTGTCTGTTCAATGAAAAATACCTCTATGTGAGCCGTTTCTTTAGAGAAAATGTTTGTAATACATATATCTGGAAATGAACTTGTACACAGAATATATTAAGAAAAATAAAAGAAAGCAAGCCAATCATGACTATGATATCTGATTTTTTAATAGAGGAAAAGATTTGAAAAAAACACTTCACTCACAAAAAACGTGAATTTCAATTAAGTGTAAATAAAAATGATCAAAAGGTATCACTACACACACAGTAAAATAACTAAAATTAAAAGGAGCTGGTGATAAAGATATTTAGCAGTTCCAACTCTTTTATATTGTGGGTGGAAATGTAAATGGTACCACCATCTTGAAAGAGCATTTGGCATTTTCAGTTAAACAAGTACTTATCATATTGACCTCACAAGTCTACTCCTTAGTAGAAAATCGCACATTTTAGGTCTTAGAGCAAAACCCAATAGGAATAAAGATTGACATGCACAGAAAGACATGAATATTCAAGGAACTTTATTTGTACTAACACAAATGTCTAACAACAGGAAACTGCACAAACGAAAGTTCAATCTATACAATGGTTTACCAGTGAGCCATAAAAAGAAATGCATTATTGATACCCAGACAATGTCTTGGGTAAATCTCAAAAATTTTGTTAGGCAGCAGAAGCCAGAGTGAAAAAATAAAAAGTACATAATATCATTTATAACAAATTATAGGTCAGCAAACACTAATCTACAGTGACAAAAAGAAGATCAATAGTTGCACAGGACTAAGATTTGCCTAAAACAAGAATGAGGAGCAGCTGGTAAAATTTTTTTCCCACATTGTACGTTGTTTCTTAGTTTTGTTGATGGTTTCTTTTGCAGTGCAGAAGCTTTTTAATAAGATGAGATCCCAGTTGTTGATTCTTTCTGCTAGTTCCTGTGCTACTGAGGATTTGTTCATAAAGTCTTTTCCTATGCCAATGTCTTCAAGAGTTCTGCCTAACTTATCTTCCAGCAAGTTTAGTGTTTTCTGTTTTAATATTTAGATCTTTCATCCACTTGGATTTTAATTTAGTGCATGGTAAAAGATAAGGATCTAGTTTTAATCTTTGGCAGGTTGAGATCCAGTTTATCCAACACCATTTATTAAAGAGGCTATCTTTCCTCCAGTGGGGATGGTCATCTCCTTTGTCAAAGATGAGGTAGCTGAGTACATATGGAGTTGTTTTTGTGTCTTCCAGTCTGTTCCACTGATCCTCAGGTCTGTTTCTTTGCCAGTACCATGCTGTTTTTATCACAGTGGCTTTGCAGTATAGTTTCAAATTGGGAACTGTTATACCTGTTGCCATGCGTCTGTTGCCTAGGATGGCTTTTACTATTCTAGGTCTCTTATGGTTCCAAATGAATTTTTGGATTCTTTATAGCAGCACAGTTTGTAATAGCTAAAACTTGGAAACAGCCCATTTGCCCATCAGTTGGAAACTGGATAAAGAAGATGTGGTTTTTCTATAAAATGGAATATTACTCAGCCATAAACAATGAGAAATTAGATTCATTCATAGGAAAATGGATACATTTTGGGGATATACTCCTAAGTGAAATAAGTAAGTCACACTTGTGTAAATGCCGAATAGTTTCTCTGGTGTGAAAAACTATAATAGTACATAAGATCCTAATGAGATAATTAACAATGTGAAATAGGAAGAAAAGGGCTAAAGGTGTAAGTGGGAAGGGTAGGGGAAAGGGAATAAGGGAAAAGAAAAAAATATGAGAAAATGAAAAAATGGAAATAAAATGTTTGTAAATGGGGAGGGTAGGAGGGGGTGAAGGGAGGGAAAACAAGAATGAGGGAAATTTTCAGTGTGATGAAAATGGCCTATATCATAATTCAGGTGGTGGTTGGTTATATATACATATACATACATATACATACATACTTTAAAAAGGTTGACTTTAAAATAATCTTTTAACCAGCAATTCTCTAAGGGTGCAATATTTTGCCTTTTCCCTGCTGATTGATAAAGTTGTGCTGAAACAGAGCTGTTAAAAGGAACATACTGTTTCACCTTCTGGATGAAGTTAGGGCATTTTGAGTTCAGTTGATGACTGCACCAAGAATACAAATGATCCCAAGTGGCAGGATGGCACCTGTAACTCTGGCATGGTCAGGAGAATGGGAACTTGTTATGAACCAGATCTGCACTGTATGACTTAGAAGAGAGGCAAAGCGGAGACACAGAGTGCCATGACTGAGGTTCCAATCAGAAGCAAATCCTAAAATCTGAGAGGGGGTTGCTGGGCATGGTAGCACATTCCTGTAATCCTAGTACTCTGGGAAGCTGAGTCAGGAAGATTGGAAGTTTGAGTCCCACCTGGGGAACTAAGCAAATTAGCAAGAATCCATATCAAAGATTTTTTTTTTTTAATGAAAAAGGGCTGGGGATATTGCTCAGTGCAAAGGCCCTGAGTTCAATCCCCAGTACTGCAAAAACTAAAAGCAAAAACTAAAGTAAAATCTGAGTGCGTTGGTACCTCAGCCATGCTCAACACCCTATGACATCCTAAACCCACAGATGTCCAAGCCCATCTTCTGAGAGAAAAGAGCCTCACAATAAATTTACATCAAAATATAAAGAAAAGATGGAAGATCCATATTCCCACCAAAACCTCACCCTAAGAGAGAAAAATTTGGGGGTCAAGAGCTAAATTGTGGTTTTCTTTTGCATCCAGGAAAACAAAAATAATGCAAAGGAAATATTCTTTCTTAACTGATGCAGTATTTAGGGGAGAAAAATATACATAGACAATCGTGCCCACATATCAAAATATGCATAATATACTCACAAACACTATTGTATTACTGTGATCTGCTCCTAATATTGAATGAGTTTTTTTTGTTATTTTTGTTTCCATGGTTATTTCTCAGTAGCCTGGGATACCCTGGAAATTTATAGCCTCATTTCCCTAGTGGCTCTGTGTCAGAGAATATAGCAGCAAAGGAAATCAAAAGCCCTATTTCATCAACTGACTCCAGAGGGGACAGTGGAGGGATCGCAGATGAAGGCTGGCAGCCAGCCCCTTTTCTCGCAGAGGAAAATTACCAGAACTCTCTGCTGAGTGACTAAGCACAGCCCACAGTGTTCTCTTCTCATCCAAGGCTGAGCAGATTCAGCTTTATAAACAAGACTGCAAGAGAAGCCATATTGCACCCCGAGGCAGAGCAAGCCCCCCTGAGCAGGTGGTCTTCCTGCCCCATCTAGGGACATGGGACAGATGGCGCAGAACACTGATGGGTGAGAGCACCGAGGAGGTCCCTGGAACAGCTGCACAGGGCACAGAATCGCCCGCAGGGAAGATGAGTGGAAACCGAAGCCCCCAGGAAAACCCATTTCCTCTCCACTTACCTGGCAGAGATAAGCCACAGTTGAGGCCCATGCCCGACTGCCACATGTCTGTCCTAGTACAGGTCTTAAGTTGCCAAGACGCCCTGGACTATGAAGAGGAAAATTAAAAGTCAATTATTGTTTTTTGGAAATAATAAATTTCCATTTTTTGCCTGATACTGTATTAATTATGAGACTCATAAGAGTAAAGGCTTTCTGACTTATTTCTAGCTCCTAGCAGAGGAGCTGGTTCACAGAAATGCTCAGAGCACATTCCCTGAATGGGTGGATAAATCAATGAATAAGACATTACCTATTTTTCCTCTATAACCAGTGCTAATTGTGAAAAAAGCTGATGCGCATATGTTGCGGGGGAGTATATTTGTATTGGAAGGTTGTATATATTTTCATTAAAGCCTAGCTTCTGAAATACCAAAGCCCAGGAAAATATGACCTTGTGTCTTTTTGTAGCTAGTTAGATGATGAAAGCAGAATATGTCCTCCTAGCAGATTTTGAGTCTATTAATTTCATGGATAAACCATAAAAATTTAAATATACAGTTCTCCCTTTGTAGGAAGGATTTTGAGCCATCTCTAGAAAATTGCCAATGAGGAGAACTGTGCCGTGAGCAGCACTCCAGGGAAGTAGAGTCCTCCAGCACCCACGAAAGAGGAGAAGCCAGAACCTGTGATTGATGTACATCTGATGCCTGTCCTTCCAAAAGTACAACTAGAAGCCGGGCATGGTGGCGCACACCTGTAATCCCAGCACTCAGGAGGCTGAGGCAGGAGGATCACTGTGAGTTCGAGACCAGCCTGGGCTACATAGTGAGGTCCAGGTCAGTCTCAACTACATAGTGAGACCCTGTTTCAAAACACACACACACACACACACACACACACACACACACACACAGTACAGCTAGAGGCAACCTCTGGGCACCATCATCCATTCATTGTCTCCTTACAAATTCTCTACCCAAACTTGCTTCCCTATATTTATGTGGGTTAACTGCCTTCATTCATTCATCACACAGATGGCTACCCTGGCCCCTCTAAGAAAATCTAGCCTCTTTCCATCAAGCCATCAAGCATTACCAAGACACTGGACACTCATTTCCCAGGCAAAATGAATGTCCGGTAGAAGATAATTCAAATCCACCTCTTGAGCCGGGAGCAACGGAAGGCTGAGTGGGCCGCGGAGGCCCCTTGGGGTTCCAGAGTTCATGTTTTCCATTATCTTGGAGCAGAATGGGCTGAAAAGGAAGGTTCCTAAGTTCTGGGAGGGAAACTAAAAAGGAATATAAACACAAGCAACAGACAGCTGGAGTGTGGATACTCGAGTTCCTTCTGAACTTTGTACAGGGAGAGCTCCAGTGCTCTTCTCCTCCCCTGTGGAAGTGGGGACAGAGAGAGATTCTGCCCTGCTACATGCACAGACTGCAAAGCCCAGTTCACTCTTCAAAACTCCTTGGGGATTTTTCTGCTCGGTTGTGAATGTGACTTAATAATACAGAGGGGAATACCTTGTGTCCACTTGCCTTCTGTCTTGGTCATCACTACCTTTACTTCATTCTCTTCTAATTTCCTCTATCCTCTATCCCTCCATCCTTTCTCACCAAAGTAAATGGAAAAAGAATTCTCAGGAGGGAAAGAGAAGGCGAAGTTGCTCATCCCAGGAATAAACTTCTGGTGTTTATACTTAGAGACTATCTTCAGTGATATGTGTTTTCACTCCTTCCGTGTCTAACAAATACCAACACTATACCCAGCCTGTGCAAAAGATACCTAGGTGATCCAAGTATCTTGCTGTCCAAGGACTCCCGACACTATGTTGTGTCTTAAGGTTTTTGTAGAGGTGGAGGAAGGCATTGTGGGAACACACTGAAATAAGCTCTTCATTGTTTCTAGAGATGTTGAGGAAAACTCCTTGGAAGTGGTGACACTTGAGTTGGCCCTCAAAGGGTAAATAGTAATTCTCTAGTCAGAAAAGAGAAAAAAGGAAAGGGGTTAGGAGGCTAAATTTAAATCGTCTTTGAAAATGAGAAGATGAAAAATAACATGTATTCAGGCAACCACATTCAGCAGCAATCTTAGACATGAGACCATACTTTTATTCTGGTAAAAGTCAGGGCACAGAGGGTCCTGTACTCCATATTTAATGCTCTGATTGTCACACTGAAATTAGGCAAATGCATGTGACTTAAGTTAGAAAGCGTCATGATCAGATTTGTGTATTCAAATGATTGCTCTAACTGTGGTGCCAAGCAATGAGAGTAAGACAAGAGGCAAGCAAGCTATAAGAAGGCTCCTGCAATATGCTGGCAGGAGATGGAAAGGGTCTGACCTAAAGCCACATCATGGGCTTGGAGAAGAGGACTTCATGTAATTTATCAGTCAGTTGCCAAGGTAACACTTTTTCCTTCCTCACATTGCCATGTAGAATCAGACAAGAGAATACCTGCATTCCAAAGCAAAGATTATGGGCTTTTCTTTGCTTGTCTTTATCAAATATTACCTTGTCTGAGCCTGAACTCGGCTCTGCCACACTATGAGTGGTGGCTGTCTTTCACGACAATGATAATAATGAAGACAATGATTCCCAATTTTGAATGTGAGGGCAGACTTCAAATAACTGTGAATTACCATTTTCTATATTCTGAATATTTTGTATCTCTTCCCCAAATTCATATGTCAAAACTTAAACCCTCCCAAGCCATGGTATAAAAACAAGGGGCCTTTGGGAGACCATTAGATTGTGAGGACTCAATCCTCATGAATGGGATTAGTGCCACTGTAGAAGAGAAAGGGACACCATCTGCCCATATGGTGAGAGGGTCCTTCACCAGACACTAAATCTGCCAGCACCTTGATCTGAGATTTCCCAGTCTGCAGAGCAGAGAGTACCAAATTTCTTTTTATTTGTAAATTACCCCATCTTGGGTATTTTGCTATAGCAGCCTGAGCTGTGTAAGACAAGGTTGAATGCCAATTATTCCTTCACAAGACTCGCACCTTTAGAAATAAACATACCATCATTGATTGAGGCTATTCCAGGGATTCCTCTAAGAACTACTTTACCTCCAAACTAATGTACAGAAATGCCTGCTGTATTTACAATGCTGGAGCTTACATACAGTGAGAGCCTCCTCACGTTAAGGACCTTTGCTCTTGATAAGACCTTTGGCCTTGTTAAGAACCTTTGACCTGGATAAGACCTTTGCTCTTCTCTCTACCCCACTCCGTCCAACATTCCCGGGCCCTTCATTGATCCTCCCTGTTGAACTCTTGGCAAATTTTTGCCCTAGCACACACTGTTCCATCTACTTTGGAGTCTTTTCCTCTGTCTACTCTACTTTGGAAACTTCAGCTTGTCTCTCAATTCAAGGTCAAAGATCACTACTGCCTCTTTATAAAGTTCTCCAATACAGAGTAGAATTGGTTGTTTCCTGTTCATGTCCCTATCAGCCTGTGCTCGCAGCTGTGTGATAGTACTTGGAAATGGAAATGGAAAGAAGGAAAAATGTTTGAGAAAAAGAACAAAGAAATTATAAAATATAAGAAAAAGAGGAAAACAGTAGTATAACAAATAGGGAAGAATAAAGAAATTAATATAACCCAGTAATGCCCCAAGATTAAGAACTAGGACAAAGGGCGTGTGGATCATAATTGATAAATAGATATTTTACTAGAGCACCCACTATCAGATTCTCAAAGCGTTCAGAAAAATGAGAGCTAACATTCTAAGAAAGTGTGAAGTATTTCAAAGTATTCCTAGTCAGTCTTTTTATTCGATCAGATATATGTTTTGACAAAGAATAAAATAGTACATACTAATGTAGCAAATAAAAAGTCTTTAAAGAGAAAAACAGAAATATTCAATGGGTTTGGAGTGCCTATCAAGCAAAGCCATAAAAAATATTCAAGATCTATTAAGATATAACTTTGGGTATATTTAAGTGGTGCTTAGTCTTAAGCAAATAAAAGATTTCAAAAGTTCTAAAGTAGATAAAGTTGTATTTCTTAGGATCTAATGAAATTCAAAGACTTGGACGCTAGAAGGGGAAAATATATATAGGTATCATAAGAGCTTACCAGCCTAGCTTGAGCTGACTGCTTCCTCCAGCCAAACCAAGCAATTATGAAAACTCAGGGTCACAGGGGTTCAGAAGCATGAACGCACTCTATTGAGAGAGGGCAAAATCAAAGCCAATGTCCTCCTTGAATGAAGCACTCAGATCTACGACAAGTCAAAAAACAAAGCAAACAAACAAAGCAAAATAAAAGAAAAGGGGGGGGCACACGTTGCCAAGCATGTCTCCATCTCACTTCTCACCCTTAAGAAACCGGAAATTGGCAAGGTGGAACTTTTTAGAGCAGGTAGAGGGGGAGCCAAGCAGCGGGACAGTGACTTAATGGCTGGAGCCCTACAAAAGGGCAGCTGGGACAACTGCAGCAGCAGAAGCCAGGGGCCGGCGTCCAGAGGAAGTGGTTTTCCTTCAGGCTTGCTAAGAGCAACAAAGGTTCTGGGAAAACGAAGGACGCCGTGGGAAGGTGAGTGACCCAGAAGTCACAGTGTGTGCTTCTGGAGATCAGAAGATGTCTGCACGTGGTGACAGCTTCTCAATGGGAGCACTGGTAGATACAAGGCTTCAAAATCTCCACCTCTTCCTTTCCATCAAAATGCAGTCTGATCCCCTTGAAGGCCACCTCATCATGGCTTCTGAAGGGATTCTTCACTCTCCTGGACTTCAAAGCAGAGGTCGGGGCTCCACACAGGCCCACCTGCCGTGGAGATCCAGAGAAAAGGCAGGAGCAGAACAAGGTGGAAAACACGGTTCGCTGGCTGCCCCTGTTTGCTGTTTGTGTGATGAAAATCAAAGTGGTTATGCCCGGAGCAAGAGGATAAAGTGCCCTCTGCCAGACAAGCAGGATGCCTCTGGCTTGGCTTTCCTAGTGACCTCGGTGCCGCTACGGAAATGGAACCTAAAAAGACACGAGTTTCTGCAGACTGCTCCCCTCACACCCTGGAGTCCAAAGATATCGATGTGAGGAACCCAGCTGATAGTGTTTCTCTTGAAACCAGTCTTTCAATTTTATTTTACACAGGAAGTTCTCTGATCTTACAGTCAGGCACTTGTCTTTAAAAAGAAAATCCCTTAAATGAATACCAGAGCCACAAAATCAGAAATGTTACATGCAAGAGACTATCCTAGATCTGTCTGGCGCCTTGGCTTATCTGGTTTCATGTGTTCAGTCCCCACCAGCCGCTGCCGATTGCAAGCTTTTTCCAGGCGTTTTTTATTTGTAATCCGTTTAACGAAAGACTAAAGCCACCCAGGTCTACAGATAGAACCGAGAGCAGATTTTCCCACCCCAGCTGTGCGTGCTCCTCTGGGACGGGCTCCCTGGCTGCCTCGCCACCCTTGGCCACTGAGGGGAGGAGGCGCGAGGCTGAGAGAGTGAAGAGGTTGCTGTGCTCGCTGCTCCAGGCAGAGTCCAGGACCATCTTCGGCGCTGATTTAGAAGGGGCAGAAGGGCCAGAGCCTGGCTGGGAGTTGTCCCGCAGCCTTTGAACACTGCAGCTATTCCCCGAGGGCCAGCGCATCCGGCGAGGTGGAGCAACGCGGCTTCCAGCCGGGACACAGCACTCGGTGGCTGGAGAGAAGTTCTGCTGGGTCAGGCTGCCCCGTGGAGAGAGCGGGTAGGGTGCTCCTTTTCTTTCTTTCTGTCAGCATTATAAAGGTATAATTGATAAATAGATAAAATTATATCACAATAATATGTATATATGATTTAATATATGTATTATCATAGAATGATTGCCACAATCAAGCTGTGAACACCTCTATCACCTCCTAGTTACCATTCTGTGTGTGTGTGTGTGTGTGTGTGTGTGTGTTAAGAAGGAATGAAATCAGTAGCTCCAAGAAAGAGCTGCATGGCTGTCTTCTTTGTAGAATTATTCACAATGGCTAGCTGTGCACTCAGTCTAGGTGTCCTTGACAAATGTACAAAGAAATTGTGAATAATGGAGTATTATTCAGCCATAAAAATGAGACCTTGCTATGTAAAAACATGGATGAACCTAGAGGACATTATGCTCGGTGAAATAAATCCGGCAGAGACAGATGAATACAGTGTGAGCTCACTTGTCTGTGGAATCTTAAAAAGC